CATGCCTATACCTACCTACCCTAACCTACCCAACCTACCTAAACCTACTGCATTTAAAACTGAATATCTAATATTCTAATCTGAATAACCTATAGCATATAAAAGTTCAAGTGTATAATTTTCTTTACTCCCAATTATCCGCAATAAATTTTCTGCGACTATATACATATGTGACCAGTGTCCAAGCACCATTCGTTAAAACTTTAAATACATAATATAATATATCGAATTAACCATCTACTTGTTTGCGAAATTTTTATTTATCACCCAGATTCTGGGTCTATAAAAAATTGTAGGTATAACAATAATATTATAATTCTGCAGTCTTTCAAATAAAACGAAATTTTAAGACAAAATTAAATAATTGTCGTTTTGAGTCTTTGACGTACCTGCTGCAGTAGTCATAATACTCATAAGTCATAACTCATAAAGTCATGAGCACAACCATTTACTAAAGACAAAACAAAAAACAAAAAAGGTGATATGGCGTATTGTGACTCTGACGTCCGTGGTCCGTCCATCCACAGAGTTCTGATTCAAATATTTTTATTATTAATAGGATGCGCTCGAATCATTGACAATAGGCGAGTAAGTGCACTGTAAAACTCCGTCCCGAGACAATATAATGTTTGTAGTGGGACGCGGATATACTCATTGATATTTACGATGTTATTATCATAATCGCGGATTTATTCCAGTCTCGTTATAATATGGGTAAAACTCGTATAGTACAGTGAGTATTATTTATTCATTTAATTTGATTTTTACTGCACGAATACTATAGATCACGTCGATTCTACTCGGAGGTATACTGTATTATGATAAATCCGCATAAATCCGTAAAACCAATTTAAGGGTGCGATCATTATTCTAGTGTATATAAACCATGCCCCACTTAACCGCGACACCACTACAATCATATCAGTATTAAAGTATATAATAACCGTTATCCCTCCGACAAACCACTACGGTATTTGGGTTTATTTTGTACAAGTTCCTTTATATTCCTAATACCCGTTTAATATAATACAGTCGACTCTCGATAACTCGAAGTCGGTGGGACTTGTTGGTAGATTTCGAATCCAGACTCGAACCCTGCAGGATTTTTGTTTGGGAGGCTTAAAAATGTCTTACTTTCCTTACACACTGCAAGTAAACAATTTTATAACATACGACGTAATAAGTACTAATTGAACTATTTACGATGTGCTAAAACCCCTGGGTGCTCCACTGTTTGAATTACCGAGAGTTAGAATTGCTGTGTGGTTCGAAATATCAAGAGGGCAAAAAACAATAACTGCCGAGTTATGAAAACTAATTAATTAGAAAACATATTACGTACCTACGATAATAAATTGATAGTAATTGGAGTAATAGATAAGTTTATAATATTGTAAGGTAAATAATTATTACCGAAAAGATTATATAAGAAATACATTTTGGTGAATAGACTTCAAATAATTGCAGAACGTTGAACTTCGAATTGTCACGTGTTGACTACTAGTTTTCCATAATTTTTTTTATTTTACATTAGATATGTATTTTACTACGGGTGCCGCATGTACTTTAATGCATTGTTTTTATTCGAATTACTGCGAACATTTTAAGGGGACGAGCAATATTGTTTCAAAATACCGAAAGTCTCGAATTATTGAATGTTTGAATTATCGAGAGTCGACTGTATAATAACGCTTTCAGATTATTGTGTAATAATTATATAGTATAATACTAATGTACCTAAATGAAGTACTGGAACTGCAACAATAAGACACTCTGCTGTGATAAGAGTGCAGGCGATATACTTAAACAACTCCATAGAATAATATTATATTACATATCATTTTATAACTAACTCCAAATTATATTATTATAATTTTTTATAATATTTTTTTTCTCTACTTTGAATCGTTTAATATTTCACTTCGTACACCAATTATTTTCAGATAACAATAATTCGACACTCGACCGTAATAAGTGCGCATTACTGCACTATTATACATGTACGTATTATACATATTATGATGATAATAAATCCTTGCTCGAAATGGACAAAAATATGTATTGAGGAGCTCAGCTTAACGATTTAAGAACTGTGTTCCAACTTTCCAATCGAAAAAATATCTAACACAGTCTCGTGTGTGTGGGGGGGGGGGGACTATGACCTCACAGCCCCGGACATCGTTACAATTTTTTACAACACTATATACAACATACCTATTGTCTACATTGTAGCCAATATATGAATGAAAAATTTAAAAATATATTCCATCATGACGCGCATTATGAACATGGAGTTAAATTTTCCGTTTATAAATTTAGTCGTGACTAAAAAAAGCAAACTTTCAAAAACTTTGTTCAGTGATAACTTACTAAAACATTAGCAGTATAATTATTATTGAGTTCAGGAGAAAGAGCGGAATCGTGATGTTCCAAGACTGCCAAAACCCAGGCCGGAGGACCACAAAGTGGCCAGTCAACGCATTAAAATTTTTTCGTGGTTAAGTACGTGTTTATTTGTCACTAACTTATCGGCCCGGCGAGATTAGATAGTAAATTGTTTTTTGAAATATTGTAAAAATAGAACCCAATAGTGTAAGCACTAAGCAAGTCTTGTCAGTTGATAAGATATGGTCCGCCAGCTAAATTTAATTGAAATTATAGCCAGCTTCCAAAATAAATTAGGTGGACTTGTGATGGAGTGGGCCGTCGCAACCTGAGTGACTGCGCCTATATCGGGTTTCGGAAATAGGCGGCCATGCGGTCCGAATCTAGGCTTCATAGAGAATTTAAGTGGATCACTAAAAATATTTTACTTCGATGTTGATTTTTTTTTCCGTTATTGGTCTCTCTGCAGCAAGGCTTAAAATACGCTGGTGACCACGAAAAAATAGAAGGTTTTCTGGACCTCGAAAATTGTAATCCATACGTCATCCGGACCGCCTTCGAAACCAATCGGGGACCGACCTGTATGAATGGCAGTCAGTATAGAAGCCGCATACAGACTTGTTACCAAATGAACAAACAAGTCTAAACGAAAATTATATTACATTTTTCCAATTAATTTATCGTCAGTAATGCCATGTTGGTAAGTAATAAGTATTAAGTATACTAAGTATAGTGTCATTGACAAAAATTGAAATCGACATTTGAAGAAAACTAATTGGGGTATTAGGTCTTGCCGTTCCACCCATTTCAGTGACAACAAAATAGTTGGCCCGTCGGTCACAAAAAAAAATAATTATAGAGGAGCTCCACGCCCCCGAGCACCCCCGCCCCAATTTTAGCCCTATATCATGATATAGTCGTATATAGATATTAAACCGCAAAGGCGTAAACAGACGTAATATGCCATATACCTACATATTACCGGATTCGGTGTGTAGGATAGACACATGTTGATATTGTACATAATTGATTTTCAAGCAATCAAACGTAACTATATGGGTAGTGGGTACTATATATTATTATTATTAATTCTCGACGGAACGAGAAAAAACAAATTTATACCGTTAAAACCACGCGTGGGTGCATATTTTTTAGGAGTGGGATGTAATAATAGAAACTCGCAGAATACATCGCAAAACCGCGAAAAAAAAATCAACCTTGCGATTTGTATTTTCTGCAAAAATCGAAACACATCTACGATGGTCTTTATATACACTCCGTATCCAAGGTGATCGCACGCAAACTATAAGGATATATTATATTATCATTATTTCACTCTGTATATACCCGCCGCGATAATCACGTAGTTTTGACCTATAGAATAATTTATATATTACAGGTTTTATGGTAATATAGTATATAAATGTATAATGTACATAATATATATATATATGTATTTACAGTGAAACCTCCCCTGACGAACACCACCGCCTTTGAAATATAGAGGATGTTTTATTTTGAAGAGGGGGGGGGGAACTCGAGAAACTATACAAACTTTCTATATACAAACTGCAGAACCCTTTCAATAGCGTACATCTTGAATGGAAATAAATCTCAGCGACCTAGGTATAGTGGTTGTTTCACTGTATTATAATTATCGTCAATATTGACCATTGTGTACCACACACGATTGATGAATAAATTGGATGGGAAAACTTCAGTCGATCGACTTCCTGCGTGGACGACGACTGAAGTCGCCGCCGACATTCCGTGAGATCGGTCGTCGACGTTTTTCTTGGGGGGGGGGGGGTCTGTAGTTGCCCATCTTATAAAATAATCGCTGAACGGGATCCACAAGTATACCGCGGTATAGAGACCCAATATAATATTATATGGGAATCATTTGTTTATTTATACAGTACTATACTAATTGCGTATGTAGGTCGGTGGTATACATATTATAATAGGCGGCGTATCCGGACGGAGTCGAGAATGATGAAAAATAAAAATATCATGTAATAATGCATGTAATAACGCATGGTTTAAAAAATTGTTAATTTAAAATTTAAAGCTCCATCCCCTAGCAAACCCATCCCCCTCTCTTATACCAAGCCACGGAAACGTATACTGATGAAGTCTGAAGTATCTAGCACACCACTGCAGCAACTCGTATATTATTTTTTTTATTAGATTTTAGTCGGTGACTATAGCTATGACAGCTCGACAATTGAAAAATTCAAAATTATGATAATAAAAACAAATACAAATATGCTAACTCGTTTTCTGGAATATTCTATATAGATTAGGTTCAATCGTTATTCGTTAGGAGGTCGATCTCATAAAAATACTATAACAAGTAAACGAATACGGTGGGGGGGAGGGGTGTCATCCCACCAATTTTTTACTTTCCATTTTCCACCCCTCCACTTATTTTGAGAGCCACTTTGACCACTGAATTGACGAATGAGTATATTATTCATGATGGGTACATCGTTACACATATAATATTATAATTCTAAAAATAGATTGATACTGTGCTCGCATATACATGTAAATAAATTAAATATTAAATAATATAATACATATTAATATCATTAATATATTATTATACTGACCGTTCTGTTTGTCCTGAGACCCGACCACGGCGGAGCCCACCTCTTTCCACGCGGCGTTCTTGGCGCTGTAGTCCTTGAACACGTGCATTGACTGATCGTAGAGCACCGGTCGATCGCGGACCGCGGCCAACAGTTTTTCGTCGCGCGCTTTGCTCGCCGTCTTTTTCATTTTCGGCCGTTGGTCCTTTCGGACGGTGCAGCGCGACTACAATTATTATTATATCGCGGCCGTCGCGCGCTACAATTCGCTCTCGTACACGGCGCGGAGCGCGTAATAATATAATAACGATATGTTATCGAAGTGGCCGGGGTACCTTAAGCGCGTAATATGTTACACCGACGAGATATTATAATATTGATATCACAATATTTACAGGTGCTTAATAATGCGCGGTTAATATGCGGACGCTTATTTTTTGACGTCGCGGCAATAATAATATTAGGTGCCCATATGATTATACCAAGACCTATAATTAATATACAATTATTGAGCTGGTAACGACCAGACCGCTACTTGAACGATGTCCGTACGAGCCACGTCAAAATATATTATGATGCGCGTGCACGCGGTTGCGCTACTGCTAGGACTTACGCGGTTTTTGACGCGCGACGCTCGGACTGCGACTGTGACTGCGATTATAGAATAATATAATAATAATAATAAATTTTCCGCCGCCGCCGCCGTTATATGCGCCGCGCGCGCGTAATAATATTATAATGCTGTACGCGCGGCGGCGGTCGAGGGAATCGCTAGGCGTCGACGTCGCGCGTATAACGCGCAAACGTATACGTGTGCAGCGCAATGTGTATATATATATATAATATCGTATACACGCGCACACGCACGGCGAGGCAGAGCGATAAAACGTGCGCCGCGCGCGGAACGCGGCTCGGGCGACGGCCGCCTCCCAGCTCGGCCGCCGAGCGAACCAGCGCGCGCCCGCGTCATTACGTGCACCACGCTCTCGCATATATATTATCATTATATGTATATACGCGCGGCGTGTGCGTGTGCGCGCGCGACGTTGTAACGCGACGCGCAATCGATTGCGTGCAGACCGAGGAGGCGGCGGCGGCGGCGACGGTGTTGTTGTCGCTATACACACAAACCGACGCCGCCGCGTGCAGGACGCGAAGCCGGCGGACGCCGGTGGGTGGGCTACCGATCGGCGGCGGGTGGACGACGGAACGGCGCGCGTGCACGGCGGACGGACGCGCGCGCTGTTTACGTCCCTATAATATTATATTATACTGAAATATGCGCGTGTACACCGGATGAAGCGACAAGGCAGAGGAGTGAGGACTTTACGACGTAGATGGTGGGGGGGGGGGGGTGTTGTTCGAAGCGCAAAATAATTATGTCGTATTATAACGATATTATAATATTCATTCCTGACGGCAACACGAAAACCGTAAAAAAACGTTTCCCCTGCTTGTTTTCGTATGCTCCTCGCGTGTTCAACGCGAATTATATAATAAATTATAATGTACATACGCTCGCGCCCGAAGTCATTTTTAGGTTTCGTTTCGATTGTGCAGTGCACCACCAGTGGCGGATCCAGGGCTTAATTTGGGGGGGGGGGCATTGAGGGGGCAAAAGTATAAAAAGTAGGTACCTACATTTGCTACAAAATTGGCTAAACACAGTGGAAAATAAGGGAAACTACGGCGATCTGGGGGGTAATGCCCCGTTTGCCCTCCCCCTGGATCCGCCACTGTGCACCACCGGCACGGTAAGGGATGATAGCGATGTGCAGTTATAGTTGTGTACTCAGTGGTGGATTTTTAACAGTTAGGTTAGTAACCCCTGTGGGGGAGGGGTCATTTTTAAGGTAAACAGTTTTCCGACGGGGATTTCCAAAGGAAGTAAGAGCATTGGTTACCGGTGGGTTAGGTAAAATATTTTTCTGCACCACCAGGAATTGAGGCCAATTTACACCCCTGCCTACCTCGTTCGTTATAATTTTTCTAAAAATACAACACACGCACACATCTAATATATAAATGTGAAAATGAAAACCTTTGAGTGATATGTTCTCGGAAACTACTGAACCGATCGTTATGATTTTTTTTTTAAATTGAAGAGCTCATTGGAGGTTTATGGCTTTTGATCGATTCTCTAACTTAATAAACAAAGGACTAAGGAGTTATCAATTATTATAAATTTTCATAAAATTCAGATCGAAATTTTTGTTTATAAATGGTTGCCATGAGTGACGTATTAATGTATTATAAAATGATTCGTTATAGAAATTTTAATACAGAATTATAGTTAATCGTTTTAAGTCGTTGCCACGAGCACAAACAAACCATTTATTATAATATAATACATCGACTATTTGTTATTGAACATTATTCAATCAGTATCTATTATTATTATGCGTCTATAGCAATGATGGGTTTATAAGCCATATAGTAAAAATAATAATAATAAAAAACTATTTGCTTTACTTTTTAAATATAAATTATAATATTATAATATCCAACTATAAAAATGTGAAATGAAAATCCCTGTACGGGCTAAACTCTGGAACTACTTATCAGATCTTCTTGATTTTTTTTTTTAAACGAAAGAGTATTTCACGAAGAAGGTTTATATGAAAGAAAATTTTAGGAAAATCCACCGGTGTATAATATATTGGTTGCTATTGGTTAATCGGCCATGTTTGTTACCTAGGTAGATTGCCTACCTGATAATGTACTGCTGCGAATCAGAATTTTTATTCAGGGTGACAGAAAATTTAAGATAAATTTTTAACACTATATGCACCAAATATTAAATAATGAATTGAAGATCGTTTGAGTCATATAAAGTTGGTACATTTAACGGGCAACGAAGTGCACGGGATCAGCTAGTATTATATAAATATAATATATAGGCGTTATATTATTTTCATTTTTATTAACATGAATGCAATAAACCTAGCTATGTACCTACCACCAGTACCACCTATTAAAAAATATTATCGTCCGACGTCGAATCGCTTTAGGTATAATATTACTATTATGCAATTGTACAAGAGACTAAGAGAGTAACCAATTTCGGAGATCGTACCATAGACAAATATATAATATAATATTATAATCTTCGTCCCCTCATCCAGTCCTTCGCTGGATGTTTTATGGCAATATTATACGAGCTCCTAATGCCCATATTCATAATATTATTATATATTTTTAATATAATATGTATTATTATGGGTAATCCTCGCAGAGAACCTCACCCAAGTTATTATTATTTCTGTACGTCAATAGGTACGTATATTATAAAATATCGTTTTTTCAGAGTTTTATGAAATACTCGCACGCGATGATACACGGAGCACGTGGCTTGAGATTAGTGCCGTCCCAACCACCAGTAACGGCATAGAGCAACGATTTTTGAAGCCCCCCCCCTCCCAAAAAAAAAAGTATGCAAAATTAACTTCACATTTTTTTTTTGTTTAATACTTATCAATTAATGGCACCTGCTTATTTATTATTATTTTCGAAAATTGACAATATGTATAATGTATTATGTATTTAATATTTATGTACCAAGTCAAGGTAATTTCTGATCTATAGACTTTAACGATACTGGATGAAATATTGAGATTTGATTTTTAATTAATGCATGTTATAATAAGCTATTAAATGCTTATTAAATTACAACTTTTAACGGTGTTGGGTCCTAGGTATTAGCCTTAAATAATAATATCACTTCAAGTTAGATATATAATTCGGAGGTAATATTTATTTACATAAGATTTTATATACATTAAAATATTAAATGCATGATGCACATAGTATCAGTTAGAGAAGAAATATAAGTAGGTATTTTAGATTCTGAGTGAAGCGATGAATGCATTGATTTTAGAGTTATGTTATTAGTTTTTAATTATTTAAATATTAAATTTAATATATTTAAATAAAAATTAAAAATCATATTTGATAAATTCATGTTATTTAGGTACATTATTGAATATAGACGTTTTAATAACAATGACATTGTTGACTGAAAATGTTTTGAACACAATCAATAATCCAATAGAGTTGCTATACAAATGTATAATAATTATACAATTATTATTACGAGTATATGAACAGCATGATGTATCTTTCGTGTATCTTTACACGAACCAATATTCGGTATTCACCTGGACCTGGTTTACTCACCTTAAAGTCTCTATACTGCCTAGCTGCCTCGGATTTCAAAATTAGAAACATTGATCAAGGCATAATAATATGTAACAATATAAAAATAAATATAAATAAATAAAATATAAAATAATGTATCTACTTTATATACTTTAAAACAGTTTAAGTTATATTGTAACGTAACAATATATAAATAAAAATTACTCAATATGTTGGTTATGTATTATGTTATAATAAAAAATAATAAAATAATAATAATAATAATAATAATATTAGGTAAGCACATTCATACATTCCTGAAAATGAGACCAATTTTGAATACATAAACATATAAATTAAACGTAATTTACGATTGTACGAGTATACTCTTTAATTTTAATGTAGTAGGGGGGGGGGGGCAAAAGTATACTTTTGCCACCCTTGGATTATATCTGAGATGTCCCCTCTGCCCCCCTTCTCCGACACCACTGGACATACACACAAATGCGCGTGGATATACTAGTTAGCCTAATTTTATTGTAGAGTAGGTATCTTAAAAACCGTTCAAGTTTAACGTATAAAATGTTATCCTAAACTTATATTATATGATGTTAAGTTTTATCAAATTGATAATTGATCATTATTCATTAGTAATAAATTGTTAACATTTTTTTTCACCTACCTACATTGATTTATATTCCTCATATTAAAGTAATAATTAAATTATTTTACTATTTGCCCATACAAGGAATTATTATTAATTTTATACTACAAACAATAGCGTAAGCATAAACATGGCTAAAAATATTACTATAACTATACTATTACTATAATACTACTATTTAGGTGTGGTTACTATATTCAATTTAGAAAAATTTGGGAAACTTGCATGTTTTTTTTGGTTGGTTGGGTACTTGGATAGCGCTACAAGCATCATCATATTTATGCCTGTGACAATAAAGATATTGTTATTATTATAATACTTTTGGGCCGGTATATTTCATCTCCACCTGGGCTGATATACTCCCAGTCCGCCCCTATTCAACTCAAGGC